CATCCGCTTCCTGCCCGCTGCGAGCGCGGGGCCGCCGGGGTTGGTGGCCGTGCGGGTGCCGGTGTTGGCCGAGCATCGCCTGGGTGAGCGCCGGGAGCGGCGGGGGGGAAGGGGGGCTCGGTATGGGGAGGGCTCCGTGCTGACCGCCGTCTCTTTCCGCAGTTCGAGGGCCCCGCTTCACGCAGCTGAAGATCGGCGCCGGGCACCGGCTGGACGTGAAGGCGTCGGGGGTGTTCGGTGCGAGCGGGGGGCGGCGCGGTTGGGTGCTGGGGGTGGTGGAGGCGGCTCTGCTGTGCCGTCCGCACGCTGCTCCCACCGCCGCGGTGCCGCCGGGTTGGGCGGCAGGACCGGCAGCGCCCCGGCTGGGGAGCGGCACGCGTGTGACGGCTCTAAGCGTGCCTCTGCCTTGCAGTGCTCGGTGTGGGCCACGGGAACAAGATCCTCAGCCACCTGTACAACTGCCATCTGAGCAAGGTAGGCGCTGCGCTGTGCCGCGGCACCCGAACCGGCCCTGGTTCTGAGTCTCAGTGCCGCCCCGGAGGTGTTCCAGAGCCGTGGGATGTGGCACTGAGGGACGGGCTGATGGCTGGATGTGATGTTACTCGATTGCTCTGGACTTTCCTTTGATGGATTTCACCCTCTGCTTTTCTTGGAGGTTTACACAGTCAGGGGGCAGTTTGGTAAAGCTACCAAGGACTTCTCAGACACTGGGAAGCTGATAGAGAAGACAACGTTTGGTAAGAAACTGAATCAATGTGTTTAAGAAAAAAAACCAAAACCTCAGCAGAACACAAAACAAATAGCACTGCTGCTGAATAGCGAGGCATTTGCCCAGGTAAAATGCACAACAATAGAAGGTAATGCTCCAAATGCTTCCTGGCCTCTCTTTATGCACGCAGCCCACACGCAGTCAAGGTGTTTTTTGTCCAGCTGTGCTGAGTGCAGCACACACAAACCCTGCCTGAACCTTCATCCCAGCAGCTGCTGCTGGTGTGGGTGGGAGCCAGGTCTGCTTGTATCACATCTAGAGGTAGCGGTGAGAAGCCTTTGTGGAATTAAATCCTTCGGCCACTCGTATGAGAAACTGGAGCCAACATCTTGAAATCAATTAAGAAAAAACGACCCTTTGTTTACATGGCACAATGAGCAGAGCTTAATCCACGCTGAGGCTCCTTGAACCATTTGGATGCGACACCAATGGCACCACTCAGGCTGCTGTCCTTCCAGTTTCCAGATGGATAATTGAGACTTAGATTCTACCTTGATATTTGCAGATCATATCACAAGGGAGAAGCTGGAACGGATTCTTGCTGTCATCCAAGGAACAAATCACAAGGCCTTGCTGATGTACGTATGTAAAAAACATGGCTGCATTGCCATTACAGCTTGTAAAGGTTTGAGCACTAGATCAGAGCAGACAGAAGTTACTTAGAGAGCTCTGTGTGCTGGTGAGAGACCGATGTTAAGTGTCCTTTTTGTATTCTGACACCTCCAGCTCCAATAGGACCTGCTGGCTGCAGTAGGCCCTACACTGATACCTTATAGACGTGGCCAAGCACCTCCCTCCCAAACTGCTACACTGCTGCAAACAGCACAGCATTGAGATGTGCACAGAAACTTAATGCATGGGCAGTTCTGAGAATAACAAGTGCAGCTCTGCTTTAGTTGGGGCTGTATCTATTTCGAATCCCATTGAAAAGAAGCACTCAGTGTCTGCTCTGCTCCTTTTCTCCTTTTTCCAGGCATTCTAACATCGATATGAAAACACAGGAGGCCTACGAGCTGGCTGTGAAGGGGCTGATTCGCCCCATGGGAAAAAGCCCCCCAATAATCACTGCAATCCGGTGTCTCCAGTTTGCACTCCCTGAATTCCAGCTAGGTAGGACTGGTGCAGAATGGACTGGGGGAGGTCTGGTGTGTCTATGTATCTGAGTTGGTAAAATTCACTTTCCTGTTAGAGCACAGTGAATTGGTGGGAGCTTGGTGCCACCAGTAATTCCTGCAGTGTCAGGAGTTGTAGCTTCCAGGCTCAGCACAGCATCTCTTTGCTGGATGATCTCTGCAATGCAAAGGCTTTTTTTCCCTTTTTCTGAGGGCAGTTTACAGAACTAAAGATGCTGTAGTAAATCAAACCAGCTGCACACCTCCCTCATTTTGCTTTCCCTGCTACTTGCAGATCTTAGACTGAGGCAAGAAATTTTGCAAAGTGAATCCCTATGTGCCCCATATAAAATTCTTCCTTATGCCAATATTTAAATGCAGTGCAGCTCAGGGGGCGTGGGAGGGTGTTTAAACATGGTTTGCTTTTCTGCAGTCAGTCTTCTATTGCTCACAAATCATTTATCACAAAGGTGGTAAGGGAAATCTTCGTACCCACTTTAAAAGTCCTAAATCTCTCTGTAAGTCTGCTGCATATATAGATTTGTTCTCTAAAGCTTTAGTTTCTGGAGGGGCTAGGACAGCCTGCAGTATTCCAGAAATGCACAATCCATGTGTGCTTTATCACAGCACTCCATTCTGCTGAACTGTTTCCTTCAGCATAAACATGATGGATGTCTGCAATATAAACAAGGTCTGAGTTTGTCCCACTGCTTTGCCTGTTCTAAAAGGAATCTCTCCAACCTTCCAGAAATCCACTGCTTGCATGAGACCCAGCAGTACCTCCGAAAAATAGTCCATGAGATTGGTCTGGAGCTGAAATCATCTGCTGTGTGCACACAAGTGCGAAGAACACGTGATGGTGTCTTCACGTTGGATGATGCTCTCCTGAGAACGCAGTGGAACCTGCAGAGCATACAGAATGCAATTCTGAACTGTCAGCTGAGAGTGAAAACCGAGATAGAGAAAACAATGAGCCATTGGGATGGAAGTGTTCTTCAGGAGATGGATGCTGAGACTGCCCACACTGCTGACAGCTGAGCGTGTGCTCCAGGGGGAACATCCACATCCCCTCTGTAACACAATGACAGAGCTGCGTGCTGACAGGATGATGGACAGCAGAAGGAAAGAGGTTAATTGCAGTTCACTTCCACCATTTCTTCGAGATGGCTTTAATCAGAGAGGCATTTTTTCATTGACAGGCTGTATAATTTTTTTTTAAAGCATTGTAAACAGTTCATTAACAGGAGTTAGCCGTGCCAAAATCCCTGTTAGCTTTGAGATCCTTACTATGTGGTATAGAACCCCCTTCCCAAATTGTTCAGCAGAGGAAACACAGGCACCTTCTTACAGAGCTGTGTTCTCTTGCTCGCATGGATCTGTTTCCTCCTTGCAACCAGCAGCACAACTCCACTGCTGCACAGGTTTTTATTTTCCCCTCGTTCCCCTAGCAAGAGTAGTGCCTTTGCTTTAGCCTCACTTCCAGAGCCAGAAATGAGACTAAAAGAGGGCTGCAAGTGAGGAAAGGCAGCTTACCTGAAGTCCAGAAGGTAAATGGCTGTCAGACAGAGTGTGTGCAGTGCAGAAAGAGGGACTGACACAAAGATGCTACAACACAAGGAATAAAACTGAAATTGACATGAAGGGAAAGAGGCTGTTTTTGAGTGCAGCACTACAGGCAAGTACACTGACCCTTTAACTAAGGCAGAAAAAGCTTTTGTTTGGTTTTGCTGAAGAACCAGTGGTGCTGGTATGCTGTGCTTTGGCAGCTGCCTGCAGGCAGAGGTATTGCCTCTCCATGGAGGTTTCAGTTCTGTAATTCCACTTATTATCTGTGAGATCATTATATGTGGATTAGACTGAACAGAAATAAGCTTCCTAAATTTAAATTAAAAACGGTGCTGTTACAACATGCAATATTTTCCTGCTATCTGCCCAGCCAGAGACTTGCTTACTTCTTGATATTTATGTACTCTAGAAAGCAACAGAAATTATTGGTTCTATTCTTCTTCTGAATTTGGGCAAAGACAAGCATAGTTTATCTTCCAGATTGCCCTTAAAGTGCGAGGAGCAACTCTGGGAGGAGCAGGGATGAAGTACCTCAGTAGCAGAGCTCAGTGCCTGAAGTTATGAACTCAGAGCCTGGAACCCTTCCATTTTGCCCTGGGTCTCCCTGCTGTGCAGACAGCAGCCAAGGCAGCAGTGGGGCATAGCAGCCACGCAGCACTGCTCTGTGCCACTGCAGAGCCTCACCCAGGGCAGTTTGCTGTTGTCTGGCTGGTTTGTGTGCATCCATCCTTTGTGGACAACGGTCTGAGATGAGGACATCATCCCCAACAGCTCTCTTGTGCTAACTGAAGCAAAAACCAGCACTGGTTAAGCAGACAATGCCAGTGTGACTGTGTTAATCCCAGTGCTTCTACAAGGAGGAGGTGGGGGGAAGGAAACACGGACCTCTCAGCCCTTAAATAACCTCCCATAGCTTGGGCAGTGGGCTGTGCTTCATCCCACGTGCCTTACCTTGCACAAAGTGGTGGAATTTCTGTATGTACTTCCCAATGAAAAGAACATTTCTGAACGCCTTGTCGCTGCGCAATAAAAAAGCAGCAGCTTTTCTGACCCCTATCTGATATCCAGGCACTGTGAAGAGAGATTCATTTCTTTCAAATTTAGAAATACGAAGAATAGACTGCAATAGAGGCCTGGCTGAAAGCAAGGGGGGGAAATTGCTTGGCAGGAAGGTCTAGGAAGTAGAAATGGACAGGAAATTGAGCTTGAGTAAAGCAGGAACATTTGTGGTCAGAGCACTTTATGAATTGGCACAAAGCAGCCAAACTTGGGTTTTATAGTCACGCTCAGTCCTAAGAGCTGACACTGAAACACTCCTGCTCTCAACATAACCGTGCTTAGGACACTGCTCACTTTCACTTAGTGACTCTGCATTTACAATTGAGTAAACGTAATTCTGCAGCCCTCATTCCCAGCAGCAGTGCTGCAACACTGCCCCCATTAAGTCCTCAGAAAACATCTGGATAATACATCTTAAAGTTGTTTCAGAATAGAATATAGTTGAAGAATTTGTTCCCAAGTTCATTTCATGAGTTACACACTCTTAAAGTGAATTACTGAGGGATGCAATAGCTGCTTTAATTCAGGTCAGACAGTTCAACACAATATTCTGTTTAGTACAGAAATGATACAAAACCTCTGGATGTTACAGCAGTTACGTACAAAATTGCTGAACACTCCAACTCCTCCAGATCCAACCATAATAAAACCAAACCACCATCACAACTTCAGCCTTCGGTCCTCTTTTCTCCCAGTGGCTTTCCTGACACAGCAGCTGTCACATCACACACAGTGCTCCCTGACTTCATCCATCCAGAGGCTGCTCCACCTGCAGGTTAACATACCCAGATAGAGCCTGGATGCTGCAGGGAAGTAAAGGATCACTGGGAAGAACTTTAGCATCAACCTTGGATTACAACCATTCCAATTAAAAATAATCATTAGAAATAGTGCTTCTCAGGTAGCAGAGTAAACTGAAAGTATCCCAAGTTCACAGCCCCAACATCCCTTTCCCACAAACAGGAATGAGTTGGTATCATCCATAACTTTGCACATTCCAAAGCTGCTGAGAAATGTGGCTGCTAACAAAATCTCTTAAAATTCAGCATATATACTGCTTCTGTTGGATCCAAATGGGTACGACACCAAAACACAACAGCCCTGCAATGGTCATGTCTGCAGGTCACGGCAGCCTGCGGGTCCCATGCTAGTCATTAAGCTCCAGGTCATACTCAGGGTACAGCTGCTTCGTAGTAACTCCTCGGATAACAGCTAGAAAAGAAAGAAATTCCATTGCTTTCATTAAGAAGACAGCAAACAAGTCAGAAAAGACTTGTGTTTTCCTTTAAGTATCCCACAGAAGCACCCACAGCTAAGGAACCAAAGATTTCCAGCTGTGCCCCCTTCCCCCACCATTTTGTTTTGTTAGCACTGAAACAAGCTTTGCCTTCATGGCATCAGCATCTCTTTATACAACAAGATTTACTTCACCAAGATCTTCAATAGCCTTCCCCTCCTTACCCAGTTTGCCTAGCAGCATCTGGCCAGCATCTTTAATTTCATTATACTCATGGAGCAGAGAGATGTGCTTCTCCAGTTCCTCCACGCTGTACCCTCTGCAACAAAGCCACAAAACAAAACCACTGCCAAACAAAGGTGTAAGGATAGCTGAGGTATGCAGACCCAGCCTGGTAAAACCCCTCTGTTTAGAACAACGATTTTTAGGTTGGATATTAGGAAAAATGCCTTCTCAGAGCAGCGAGGCATTGCACAGCCCAGGGAGTGCTGGAGCCCCTATCAGTGCAGGTGTTCTGGAGCCGTGGGGATGTGGCATGGAGGGATGCATCAGTGGGCACAGCGGGGTCGGGATGGAAGAGCTCTTTTCCAGCCTTCGTGTCTCTAGGATTAACCCCCCCTCCGCATCCAAATCAAGTGCACACTGCCCCAGCAGAGCAGAGCAAACGCTCATCCAGGCCCGGGCTGGGCAGCGGTGCAATGCCTCAGTTTGAGAACCCACCTGTATCAGCAGCTCTGCCAGCACAGCGTGTGCTGACATCAGCTAAAAAGTACCCCCGTTAATTCCCAATTAACACATCGTTCCCGCAGCACGTGAGGTCAGAGCCTTCCCAACCGAGCCCTAAGAAAAACAACCGGGAAGGAGCTCCGCGCTGCAGCTCGCGGTCCCGTAACCCGAAGCACTGCAGTACGGCGCCGTGCCGTAACGGAGCCCCGCGGGCCGTACTCGGACAGCAGCTGCGCGATCTCCCGGTCCAGAGCGCGGTCCTTTTCCTTCAGCGCTCCGATGTCATCGCACGGCGCTTCTCCGCCCGCTCCGTGCGGTGGTGCGGCCGGGAGCTGCGGGAACAGAACGCGTCCGGCAGCCGCTAACGGCACCGCGAGCCGCCGGGTGAACGGGGAGGGAGAGCGGCTTACCGGGGGTCTGAAACCGGCACCGCCGCTCCGCCGGGAGCCGCCGAGAGCCCTGAAACAGCGCGGGGAGCCCCGCGTCAGCGCAGGGCGGCATCAGCGGGGCGCTGCGGGATGGCGCGAACCGAACGGAACCGAACCGAACGGAACCGGACGCTCCTACCTCCGCTGCGCCGGCGGCGCCACGCGCCCCGAGGGGGAACGGCGCTGCTCCGCCAGGACCGCCGCGTCCCGCACGCACCGCCGGCACGGGCACGGCGCGGGGCACGCCGGGAACCGGATGTGGGCACCGCGGGGCACGCTGGGAGCTGTAGTCCCGGGCCCGGCCGCGCCCTCTCGGCGCCGAGGAACGCACTGCCGTGCCGGGAGCGCGCCGGGCTCGCCGAGGTGGGCAGGAGCGTGGGAAGGAGCGGCTCTCCCCGCAGCGGCGCCGAGTGCTGCCCCCGGAGCCCGGGCGGAGCGGAGCTGCGCTGGGAGCGCGGGGCGGAGCGGGGCGGAGCGGGGCGGCCCGAGCCGCGCGCTGTAGGGGCGGGGCGACCCGGCGCCGCGTCCGCGGGACCGCAACCCCGCAGCCGTCCGCCGTGGGCGGGCCCCCAGCCGGGGCGCGGGGCGGATCCGGCCGCCATTCCCGCCCCGCAGCGGGGGAAGCGGGCCGGGCGGAGAGCGGAGCGGAGCGGGGCGGAGGGGCGCGGCCGCCCCCGGGCCCCGGGGTGGGGCGGGCGCTCGGGGCGGAGCCTGGCTGCCGAGCGGCGGCTGACGTGGCCCGGGCGCGGGGCGGACATGGCGGACGGCAGCAGGCAGAGCAAGCTGGCGGCGGCCAAGAAGAAGGTGAGGGCGGGGGGCCGAGCCGGGAGCGGGGCGGGAGGCCCGGCGCGGTGCGGGAGGCCCGGTCCCGGTCCCGGTCCCGGTCCCGATCCCGATCCCGATCCCGATCCCGATCCCGCAGCGCTCCGCGGCGCCCGGCGGTGGCGGCGGCTCGGGGGGGCCGGGCCTGCGCTGCTGCACCGCCTGCGTTCTGTGTCTGCCGCTCTCTTTCCCTCTTGGGCTTCCTTTCCGTATCTCTGTTTTCCCTTCTATTTTTTCTCCCCCTTTCTTCTTCCCTTTCTGTTCCCTTTTTCCTTCTCGCGGGGCAGCTCGGCCGCTCCGTCCCGGCGCGATGCCCTCCTGTGTCAAAGTCAAACGAATGGGAAAGTGCCCTGGAGCAGCTCGGGCTTCCATTTTGAAATCCTCCCGAGGATCCTTTTCGTTCCGGTGCTTTTCACCTTGACGTGGAAGCGCAGCCCTGCCTCCATGGCCGCCCTCGGGGCCGTAGGAACCGCCGGAGCATCGGAACCTCGGGCTGCTCAGAGCCTGGCCAAAACTGCCTTTAAATCGGCATCCATCGCTGCTTGCTCCTCCCCGCGGCCCGCAGTGGTGGCAGTGCCGCTATCACTGTTATCCGGAAGGTTGTTGTTCTCCTTCTTCAGTCCTTTCCGTGTTCTTTTACATCTTATTACCAGATGCTGCTTTTCCAGTTTGCGTTCCGTGTTGTTATCCTTTATTCCTTATTGCTGTTAGTTACAGACTCACAAGCATTTCTTCTTGCAGTATCAAGTTGTTTCCTGGGCACTTCCTCACTTGGATACTGCAGTTGAGCACTGACAGCTCTGTCTCTTGTCGCAGACCCATCACTCTCATTCTCACTTTCAGAGCCCCTGAACTATTTTTGATATATATACTTTTTTTTTCCTAGAGAAGGAGCTCTTTAAGGACAATTTCTCTTATCCTTACAGCTCAGCTGACTTCTTACCAGTGTTCTGCTGTCATTTTGTTGTTGACGTTATACTCACAGAAGACATATTCCATTTGGACTTCAGGTTATTCTTTTTTTTTCCCCACAGCTGAAGGAGTATCAGCAGAAGAACAGCCCTGGAGCGACTGCGGGAGCCAAGAAAAAACGAAAAACTAAAGAAGGAAGTAGACCTGAGACTCCCACAAACGATGACCGACAGTCTCCAGAGAACGTGAGCGTCCTCCTCTTTCTCCCAGATACCCCCTCTGCCTCGTGCTTTGCTTTCCAAACAGCACAACTGTGGCTGGAAGAGAGTTATGCAGCGTAACGTGAGCGGTTGAGGCGCCTGTGTTAGCAGTTTGTGAGTCAGGGTGTGTGCTGGAGCAGTGCTGGAGCATTCAGAGCTGTAATGCAACCCTGGATGCACCCAGAGCTGCCGTTCAGAGATGTGAGCTCCTTGGGAGCAGCACGATGTTGGTTTCTTTGGCTGCCTTTGATGGACGTTTTTCTCTCTGTCCTTTTCTGAGCCGTTTCTCTTTTCCACTTTTCTTTCGCCTCCTTTAGATTCAGAACATTCTGAAGGTGCTGGTGTCAGACCTTAACCGCTCCAATGGGGTAGCCATACCCTCATTGGACAAAAGGAAGGTGAGGCAGTGCTCCATGTCCCTCTCGGTGACTCGCTGTCCCCTCTGCATGCTCAGCTTCTGTTTACACTGACCTTGATTTCGGATGGAGCCTTGTTCTGGCATGTCTGCTGTGTTTTGTGGCTGTTTTTATTAACACGGGGCTGTTTGTTAACATGCGTTTCCATCACTTGTAAGTGCTTGTTTCCTCCTGTTTTCTGTCTAAAAATGCAAAAAATCTAACCATGTCCAATGCACATCCTTCAGACAGCTGAGCTGTAAGGAAAAAAAGAACAAACAGAGTTTGGGGTGAGGCAGCAAACCAAGTTCATTGCTGAGAGATGCTGTGCTAGGAAGGAGTAGTGCCTTATTAATTCATATTTCTCCTGGTCTGTGTTGTTTTATTTACTTCAGTGCTGTGCTTCTGAATGGCAAGTTTCTGCTCATGCCTGCCTGGAGCAAACTGTGTAGTTATTCCAGCCACCCATTTTATGACAGGTGATGAAACCTGCACAGGCGTTGTACAGTCTGGCAAGTACCACAATTTTAAATATGTTTAGGCAAGAAGTCAGGTATTTCGAGTGCAGCATTTACTGGCTTGAGTGTCTTCCCTCACTCCTGGAGAAGGAAGGGCAGGAAGAAGTCCACTGAGCAGTGGAAATTTGTTCAGGTGCTAACTGGATCCTGTGGTGTAGGCTGTGTGCCATCAGAGCTTAAGTGACAGGAGGACCTCCTGTGAGCTCATTATTTTATGTATATTTATTGTGTGTGTGTATATACATATATGCCATATTTATGTTATTATTTATTTACTTTAAAAGTGTTTATTGTGGAGGCAGAAGGAAGGCATTCTTCTGGTTGTGTTGCTGACTTTTGCATCTTGAAGTGTTAAGCGAAAAGAATGTTCCAATCAGAACAAATTAAAGACATGTTTTTTGAGGTGTTCTGGGCAGAAGTCCACGTGATGTTCTACTTCATGACAGCCTGAACAAACAGAGGCGAAGTAACCTGTACCTGAAATAAGCAAAGGAGTTCCTGGCTTTCCTTTAAGCCCCTAAAATATGTCGCTCCTTGAGAGCACTCGTGTCTGTTCTCCAGAAAAATAATGGAGGCAGTTCCATTTGTTCCCCTCTGCAGTTTTCCAGCTCATTACTCTCATTAAATCTGTCTTCACTACTGCTGTAACCCCGTGGCTGCTTGATTCATGAATGAAGTGCTGAGCAGGTAAATAGGGAATGCCCAGAGAGTTCTTGTTTCATGCACTGCCAAGAATGAAGCGACTGAAATAAAAGGGAACTCTTTCAGATGGGTTTGCAGAGAGCTGCAATGCATTGGTGGGGCTGGCTGCTGAAGGACTATTGTTTGCTTTGTAGTGTCACTAAATGATGGTTTATCAGAGCTGGAGATGAAGTAAAACTACTTGCCATAAACCAACAGAACGCTGCTCTGGGTTTGTATGGCTCACTGCGTGGCTGGACAGGATGGATGGCATTGTCCATTTTGCTGTGGCTTGGTGGAGGTGTTGTCAGCTGTTATTTATCCTCCCACGAATCCCGGATGAGAGCCTTCATCACTGGCCAGGAATAGTTTTTAGGCCCTTTTCTATTTAGATTCTTGTAGCTGTGGAATTCCTAGCTTTACGAGGGCCGTGGGCACCTGTTCCCAGCCAGGCTCATTTTGGCCTGTTCCCAAATGTCCTATTTCTAAACGTCTGGCTCATAGCTTGCTGTTTGAGTTTGACTAACCTGGTTGTCAAGCAGTCATTTGCCTGTTCTTCCCCACCTTAATCTGCACCCAGTGATCAGTGTTTTCCCCAGAGACGTGTGAAGGGCAGTGCTGTACACAGCAGTGATGCCATCTGGCTTTGCCCACTTTTTGACAAATCCTTTGCAGGAAATCCAGCGTGTGAGCTTAGAGTAGGGAGATATTGTCACCCCTCGTTAGAGAAGTGATTGTGATGATGGGACAGTTCTTCAAACTGGATCTAGCAGGACGTGGGGCTGGGATGACTTCTGGTTGTGGGTCGATGCAGTCACCTGTTTGCTCTGGGGAGGACATAGATTCACTTCCATGTGTTTCTACATGACTTTGTTCACATCTGTTTCTCGCAGGCCTTTTGCAAGGTGATGCATCCATGTGTGTTTCTTTTGTTTTGCACGTAGGCTGTAATTCCTGTGGTGTGTTTTGTGACAGGCATACTTTGACAGTGATGTTGCCACTCGTAATGCTGACCAGCTTGCTGCCGATGTCCCCGTGCTATCTAACAGCAACAGCCTGCCTACCTGTGCTTCTGTCCTGCCTGCTCCTGGGAGCACGCAGCTGATGCAGGTTTGTGAGTCGTCATCAATATCTCCACACTGGTTAGCCTTCTTTTTCTGAGAAAGACAATCTCCATAACTAGCTCATGTTGTCTCCTGTTAAATATACTACGTTCTCCACTCTCCATCTAATCATCATCTGTCTGTGAGAGTGGAGGGTACTAGCATGCACACATCACTGCTGCTTCCAAGGCTGCGATTCTCCTCCCCTTCTCTCCTATTTAATTAGCAGAAAGCACTCTTAATAATACAGAAGATCTCCAGCTAGCTGGAGCAATCTGCATTTCCTTTCACTGCTTAAAGATTCCATTGAAGTTTTTCCAGCTAAGCACAGCTGATTATTCTGATAAATGGTAACAGCAAATACAAAGCCAGTAACACTTAAGCCTCTTAATCCCAAGAAGGCTGGGCACTCAGTGCTCAGAAATTATGGGCATGCTGGAAAATGAGCTGGTTTTCTTAAGTTGATCTTTCTTTGGGAAGCAGTAATTACAGGTGCTGTGGAACCTGAGCCCAGATGTAGTCAGGCCTTAGGGACACATTCACAAACATGATTCTCAGCTTTTCTTACAGGCTTGTAAACTTTTGTTTTAATCCACAGATCCATGAAGCTGAGGATCGTAACAACACTTTGGATGAGAACAGGTGAGTGTTTGTGTTTGCAGCAGGATCCCAAAGTGTCCAGCAAATAAAAGTTTTAGTACTCCCTGCTGCTTTACTGATCGGAGCAGTTCTTAGGAGGAATGTTCACCATGAGGCCTTTCTTTGTCTCCAGGTCTCTGTCATCAACAGAAAGTCTCCGCCAGCTGTCTGAACAACTCAATGGCCTGGTTTCTCAGGTACAGCTTCATTTTGGTGCATCTGTCCTAATAATTTTTTTGGGGTCTGATGTGAATCTTTAAGCAGCCAGCTTAAGAAAACATTCTTTAGTGTCAGAGATGTCTGCAGTAATCCTACTAAACAATGAGATATTGAAGCATTGAGATGCTAAACTTCAGTTTTAGGAATGTTAAAATTTCAGCAGTAGGAAGAAGAGCAGAGTGGGTGAATGAACAGCATGTATTCATGGA